CTCCCTAAGTGCTGGGATTACAGGCTTGAGCCACCACGCCCGGCCACATTCAGTTTCTTGCATGGAACTTTCAGGACCCACTCTCATGCTCTATAACTAGTTTCAAACAGATTTCTCCTTCCTTTTCAATGTCATTACAGACTGAACCCCATTTGCTGGGTCCCACAGTTCACTGTCCAGTATGTACCTGCCACACATTTTTTGAACATCTCTTTGAGTGTTGTGGTAGGCACTGGTCTCTCCCTTTCCTTGACTCTCATACCATCTCCTAATTTCTTTTTCACTCTGTCTTTAGTAGTTTTCCCTCTTCTCCCACTTGGCCTCTAGAAAACTCTTTTTTTTTGCTCATTAAGCCCACTGAATGCACTTTTCAGGGGCAACAAGTATGTCCCAGAAAGATCAGCACTAACCGTCAATTTACATAGTAATAAAGCCCTCCCACTGCTCCTGTGAAGGCAAAACAAAACAAAACAAACAAAACGAAACAAAACGAAACAAAACAGGCCAGGCGTGGTGGCTCACACCTGTAATCCCAGCACTTTGGGAGGCCGAGGCGAGCGGATCATGAGGTCAGGAGATCGAGACCATCCTGGCTAACACGGTGAAAACCCATCTCTACTTAAAAAAAAAAAAAAATTCAGCCAGGCATGGTGGCGGTCACCTGTTGTCCCAGCTACTCGGGAGGCTGAGGCAGGAGAATGGTGTGAACCTGGGAGGCGGAGCTTGCAGTGAACTGAGATTGCGCCACTGCACTCTAGCCTGGTGACAGAGGGAGACTCCGTCTCAAAAAACAAAAGAAAACAAAACAAAACAATCAGGGTCTCAATCAGTCACTTTTCTGTGGTGGGTGGGGGGTGCGGGGTAAAGGTTCTTGCTCTGTCATCCAGGTTGGAGTGGAGTGCTGTGGTGTGACCACAGTTCACTGCAACTTCTGCCTCCTGGGCTCAAGCGATCTTCTCACCTCAGCCTCCCAAGAAGCTAGGACTACAGGCATGAACTGTGGTGCCCAGCTGATTTTTTTTTTTAAGCAATTGAGACGGAATCTTACTATGTTGCTCAGGCTGGTCTCAAAGTCCTGGACTCAAGTGATCCTCCTGCCTTGGCCTCCCAAAGTGTTGGGATTACAGGTGTGAGCCCTGGTGCCTGGCCTCAATCAGCCACTTTTAGTGCATACATAAATATCCTACAAATGAGGCTTTGTGTATGTTGGGTATTCTGGTGACATTCCACACTGCCAGGCAAGTAATTGATTCACTTGCCCAGAGAAGGGCTCTTCTTAGGTGTGTGGCATTTGGCTCCTCAAGTCACCATTCTTTAGCTTTTCTATTTATTTATTTATTTTTTTGAGACGGAGTCTCGCTTTGTCACCCAGGCTAGAGTGCAGTGGTCGGATCTCAGCTCACTGCAAGCTCCGCCTCCCAGGTTCACGCCATTCTCCTGCCTCAGCCTCCCACGTAGCTGGGACTACAGACGCCCACCACCTCGCCCGGCTAGTTTTTTGTATTTTTAGTAGAGACGGCGTTTCACCATGTTAGCCAGGATGGTCTCGATCTCCTGACCTTGTGATCCACCCGTCTCGGCCTCCCAAAGTGCTGGGATTACAGGCTTGAGCCACCGCGCCCGGCCTCTTTAGCTTTTCTAAAGAGCCAAGGTGAGTCACTAGCTCAGTCAGTGACGCTGCCATTAAACCAGTTCATGTTTTACTGATTAACTGATAAGTGTTTGGGAAACTTGACTACTAAATAAAATATAGAATTACTGGATTTGGCTTTTTTTGAGAAGATACAACAAAGGAAAGTTCCCAAAAAAGAAATGTTCACAATTAAACGGAAAGTGGAAAAGCTGCCCCAAAGCAAAACCTAGTTCATTTGCTTGGTTCAAACAGCTTTTATTAAGCACATAGATATGCCCTATACCGTGCCAGATGCTCTCCCGTATCTACAGCTGTTAATCATCAGAACGGCTTTGAGAGGTCATCATTTCTACCTGACAGATGAAGACCTGGAAGCTCAAAAAGGTCAAGTGATTTGTCTGTAGCTGCAAATGCTAATAAAAGTGATGGAATGAAAACTGGAACCAGATCTGGCTCAAAATCCAGAGTGGCTTCCACTAAACCACAGATACATCTATTCAAATAGCCATATCCCTAACCAGTAACAATGATATCATAATAGTTGTCGCCAACATTTATCCAGCTCCTCTCATGTGGCAAGCCCTGTGCTAAGCTGGACTTACGTATATGATCTCATTTAATCCTCACAATCACCCTATGAGGCAGGTTTATCACGATCTCCATTTCATAGTTGAGGAAACCAAGTTTCATAAAAGCTCAGTAACTGCTTCGTTCCTACAGCTGGTAAGGAGTAGGGCAAGTTTGCACCTAGGTCTATCTAATTCCAGAACCCATTCTCTTAATCATTACACTAGATTGCAGGAAACTCAAACTCTAGTCCTGCTTCCAAAGAGGCAAGTCGTTTGATAGTTTTCTCTCAATTTCCTTGCTAATTAAATGGGGATATTGTTACTTGTCCCTACCTATTTCACTGAAATATTAGGATTATAAAATGAGAAAGTATATAAGCTTTCAAAAGGGAAATTGCTATATAAATCTAGGTACTGTCTAAAGTTTCACTCAGATCTTCCCTATTCCACAGTCACCAAGGGATTTGGCTGACATCATTAGCTCTCAAACGCCCTCTGAAGTGCAGAGTATTATCTCCACTTATCAAACAGCAAATTACAAAGAGATGGCGTAAAATGCTAGTCAGCAACAGAGATGGGAATAAAACCCAAGATTTCTAACTCCCAATGAATATGTTCTTATGATAGATCTATTTCTGCATTTCTTACTTAACTGTAGAACAGACAAGGGTAGAAATATGACAGTGCCCGCTTCAAAACACACATTAAATACTTACAGAAATTAAATTTTCTACTGCGGTGACACTAGTACAATCCCTAAGGTTCTTAATCCTCATATTCTAGAGAAACTGCACAAAGTATCAAAAATAAAAAATTCCCTTTTCCCTAGTACAGACTTCAGCTCTTCAGTTTTCTCAAACAACTTATGGTTACAAAACTAGGTGGGTTACTAACTAGTTTCAACTAGTGAGTCTGTAAATTTCCATAAGGAACATAACCCTCAATGTTAAATTGTTTCCTCATAAAATCAGAAAAAGAGAAGCATCAAACACATTCTCACATCATAAATACCTAATAGAGCTATATAATTTGAATTGGAAATTATCTTAACAGACCAACTCGCAGTATTCTAAGCTCAAAATTCAAGTTCCAAAGGGAACAGCATAATTAAAACAATAATGAAAACACACATGGCACCTTTATGATCATTCTTCTCCTATTCAGAAATCAAAATAATTTTGTACTTCCCACTCAAGGTCTGCCACAGGCACATAAAAACCTTAAAGTAAAATTAAAAAGTAGTAAAAACAATTCTGTCTTCAATTCTCTGACTTAAATAGGGGATGAATGTTCAGTCCTCTTCCCAGATTATTAGCTCCTGCTAATTTTTGTTTGCTAGAACAATACGATGATCTTTAACAATCATATACTTTGAAATTACCACAGGGACTAAAGAAGAAATTAGAGAAGGAAATTTCCACTCTCAAAATTGAACTAAATCCTAAAGAATGAAGTATTTCATTATTACTCTCTCTGACTGAATCATGGACTTATAAATAAAAAACCTGCCATTTTGTTATAGGGACAAACACGAAGTCACAGAAATCCAAAGAACTACTCTACTAATGTCAAGAAAATTTGCTTCTTGAGTGGGTCGAGATATCTAAATCCACTCCTAGCCGCATAATAAAAGCCCTACCACCTAAACGACGTGCTGTGAGTAGAAAGCAAAAGATGACATAGGACTCCTAGATTTTTCGGAGGTTGTTTGAATACATTAATCTCTTTCGTTTCAGAAAAATCTTCATCTTGATGTCCATAATTGAAACCAATCACTTCTGGTGGGTCAGGGGGTCCTGTGGTCTCCGGACCTTTAATGTGGCTGAGAATACCCCAGGGATGTTAAAATACGGAGCAGGATTCAGAAACTCTGGGTTGCATGCCCAGCAAGCTGGCGGCAGTGTCACTGTCTGATGGACTACACTGAGCAATAGGACGCTAAGGAAGGTTTCCAAATGAAATAACCTCAACCAGATGTTTATTTTCAAAATATACAGCCTACACCAAGTTTATAACGGGAGATAATATTCCAGACCTCAACAAGATACCTGCTCCCCCTCTTCTCATTTTTGTGATTTTTCCCATCTGGTTGCAAACTCAACGTAATACCTTAATAAAGAGCAATTTTCAAGAATATCTTTTTTGTGCTGACCATTTATTGGGACTTGACTGACCAGGGCTTGTAAGGATGGACACAAAGCTTCAAGTCTTTCGTAATGAAAGGATTGATTCAAAATAAATATTCTTTTTTTTTTTTTTTTTTTTTTTTTTTGAGACGGAGTCTCGCTCTGTCGCCCAGGTTGGAGTGCTGTGGCCGGATCTCAGCTCACTGCAAGCTCCGCCTCCCGGGTTCACGCCATTCTCCTGCCTCAGCCTCCCGAGTAGCTGGGACTACAGGCGCCCGCCACGGCGCCCGGCTAGTTTTTTGTATTTTTTTAGTAGAGACGGGGTTTCACCATGCTAGCCAGGATGGTCTCGATCTCCTGACCTTGTGATCCACCCGTCTCGGCCTCCCAAAGTGCTGGGATTACAGGCTTGAGCCACCGCACCCGGCCCAAAATAAATATTCTAAAAATTATGTCAAACACTAATGAATAAGTGACATTTACCAATAGTTTATAAGAGAATCGTTTTGGATGAACAATTTTCATTTCACAAAATAAATCACTCATATGCTAAAAAGAGACCTCTCCTTAAACAGGAAAACAAAAGCCCAACAAAAATCAAGTCATGCCCGTGGCACAGCCTTAATGTTAGTTTTAGGGAGGAAAACGCCAACACTGAGACATACAAAAGTATTTGAGGAGAATTACACGTTATTAAATTTGTCCTAGAACCTGGGGGAGTTCAGGGAAAGCAAACAGCTGGTATGTTTAAGAAAAATTTAAATAGAAAATATTACACATGAGAGCAAAATAGTCCATTTCTCTTAAGAAAACCAATAAACACTCACAAACTTTCATTTTTAGGTTTTCAACAATGTTTTTTTCATATTAGTCCAACTGCCACCCCAAAATCCAACCAGTCAGCATGACAATTAAGGTGACAACAGGTCCAGTTTGCCATACTCCCTGTACACCCTTGGATGCTTTTCAAGCCAAAGAGGGTAACATTTGTGGTGGGAGGAGCCAGAGTCAAAGGAGAATCATTTCTCTTCACTCACGAGGAAACCTCCCTCTTGAGCATCTTCGGAATTTTTCATGGGAAGGCGTCTCAGTGTGTGTGTGCACGCTTCAGCCCCATAACTGTGAAGGTGGCAGCTGTCAGTTTCTCATAAACAAGGAACATGAGAGCAGCAGTGAGGACTGTCTGCAGCAGTTTGGCCTCCAGGCCTTTGTAGAGTCCCAGTATTCCAAAACGCCTAAAGGGAAAGAGGTTTGAAAAAGCAGAAGTCAGCTCCTGCATCAGAGAACATGCTGCCTAGATAGCTACGGCACTTTGAGGAGAACAAGCAGTGGAGGTTTTAGATTCAACACAGACTTCTGCTGTCAAAGTACTTCTTATCTTTAAAGGTATTTGGGGACTGATGAAAGTTTAGTATTCATGAACCACTAATACTTTGTCTTTTTTTTTTTTTTTTTTGAGACGGAGTCTTGCTCTGTCGCCCAAGCTGGAGTGCAGTGGCGCCATCTCAGCTCACTGCAAGCTCCGCCTCCCGGGTTCACGCCATTCTCCTGCCTCAGCCTCCCGAGCAGCTGGGACTACAGGCGCCTGCCACCTCGCCCGGCTAATTTTTTCTGTTTTTAGTAGAGACGGGGTTTCACCATGGTCTCGATCTCCTGACCTTGTGATCCGCCCGCCTCGGCCTCCCAAAGTGCTGGGATTACAGGCGTGAGCCACCGCACCCGGCCTACTTTGTCTTTATAGTCACCATTAATTAGCAGAATGTTGACAGTATCCCACTGAGGATGCAGATCCTGAAACCTCCTGAAACCATCTTAATGGCAAAATCTGTGATCTAACTAAGAACTTCTGGATCTTCACTTTAATGCTAATTCAGTTATTTCAACTTAGTCCCTAAATGGCAGGACAGCTACCAATATGTTTAGATCATTTCAGCTCAATATAACGAAAGAGAAAAATGAAAAGCTACCTGATTCTCAAACTTCCCATACATTTCATCCTCTCACTCAGTGGTTTTCAAATTTAGCAGGCATTCAAATCACCTGAAAGGCTTCTTAAACCATACATCGCTGGGTCAATTCCCAGAGTTTCTGATTGACTAAGTTTGGGATGAAATTCAAGAATTTGCATTTCTTCTTTTTACTAGAAACAGGGTCTCACTATGTTGCCCATGCTGGTCTCCAACTCCTACGTTCACGTGATCCTCCAAGCCTCGGCCTCCCAGAGTGTTGGGATTACAGGCGTGAGCCACTGCACCCAGCCCAAGAATGTGCATTTCTCACAAGCTCCCAGATGAGGAGGAGGTGGATGCCAGTCACCCAGGCTGGAGTACAGTGGCGAGATCTTGGCTCACTGCAACCTCCGCCTCCTGGGTTCAAGCCATTCTCCTGCCTCAGCCTCCTGAGTAGCTGGGACTAAAGGCATGCGCCACCACGCCTGGCTAATTTATTTTTATTTTTATTTATTTATTTATTTATTTTTTGAGACGGAGTTTCGCTCTGTCGCCCAGGCTGGAGTGCAGTGGCGTGATCTGCGCTCACTGCAAGCTCCGCCTCCCGGGTTCACACCATTCTCCTGCCTCAGCCTCCCGAGTAGCTGGGACTACAGGCGCCCACTACCACGCCCGACTAATTTTTTGTATTTTTAGTAGAGACAGGGTTTCACCACGTTAGCCAGGATGGTCTCGATCTCCTGACCTTGTGATCCACCCGTCTCGGCCTCCCAAAGTGCTGGGATTACAGGCGTGAGTCACCGCGCCCGGCCTTTTTTTTGTATTTTTAGTGGAGACGGGGTTTCATCATGTTAGCCAGGATGGTTTCGATCTCCTGACCTCGTGATCTGCTCGCCTCGGCCTCCCAAAGTGCTGGGATTACAGGTGTGAGCCACAGCACCCAGCCACAGATTTTGGTTCTTACAAATAATGTCGTAAATTTGGAAGCAATCTACATGTCCATCAACAGATAAATGGATAAAGAAAATGTGGTACTTATATAAAATGCAGTACTATTCGGCCGTCAAAAAGAATGAGAGCTTGTCATTTGTAACAACATGGATGGAACTGGAGGTCATTCTGCTAAGTGAAACAAACCAGGAACAGAAAGACAAATATCGCATGTTCTCACTTATTTGTGGGACCTAAAAATCAAAACAATTGAACTCATGGAGACAAAGAGTAGAAGGATGGTTCCCAGAGACTACTGGGAAGAGTAGTGTCGGGCGGAAGGTGGGGATGGTTAATGAGTACAAAAATAGAGAGTTTGAATAAGACCTTGTATTTGCTAGCACAACAGGTGACTAGAGTCAATAATAATTTAATTGTACATTTAAAAATAACTAAAAGAGTATAATAGGACGGTTTGTAACAAAAAGAATAAATGTTTGAGAGGATAGATACCCCATTTTCCATGATGTTATTATTATGCTTTGCATGCCAGTATCAAAACATCTCACGTACCTCAAAAATATACACCTGCTATGTACCCACAAAAATCAAAAATTAAAAAATTTTAAAAAGCCATTAATAACATCTGTATACAAGCTTTTGTGTAGACATATGCTTTCATTTCTCTTGGGTAAATACCCTGAAGTGGATGGCTGGGTCCTATAATAGGTGTGGTACATATAAATTTTTTAAAGAAAATGCCAAATTGCCTTCCAAAGCAGCTGTACCATTCTATATTCCCACCAGGAGCATGAGAAAGTAAGTTCTGGCTGCTCCAACATCCCTCCCAATACTTGATATAGTAAGTACTTATTTTTTACTTTATACCTATTCTTTGTCTTTTATTGTATTTTATTTTTTGATACAAGGTCTCACTCTGCTGCTCAGGCTAGAGTGCAGTGGCACAATCACGATTCACTGCAGCCTCAACCTCCTGGGTTCTAGCAATCCTTCCACCTCAGCCTCCTGGGCAGCTGGGACTACAGGTACGCACCAGCATGCCTAGCTAATTTTTTATTTGTGTTGAGACAGGGTCTCACTATGTTGTCCAGGCTGTTATCAAACTCCTGAGTTAAAGCGATCTGCCTGCCTCGGACTCCCAAAGTGCTGGGATTATAGGTGTGCACCACCATGCCAGCCTGATTTTATCGTTTAGTCCCTTGAATAATTTTTTTTTTTTTTTTTTTGAGACAAGGTCTTGCCTCTATAGCCCAGGCTGGAGTACAGTGGTGCCATCATAACCCAGCATAGCCTCGATCTGTCGGGCTCAAGTGAATCTCCTGCCTCAGCCTCATGTGTAGCTGTGATTATACATGTGTGCCACATGCTTGGCTAATTTTGTAAATATTTTTTGTAGAGACGGGATCTCACTACTTTGCCCAGGCTGGTCTTGAACTCCTGGCCTCAAGTCATCCTCCTGTCTCAGCGTCACAAAGTGTTGGGATTACAGGCAAGAGCCACTGTGCCCAGCTGCATATTTTATTTTAATAACAAATTCATTTTCAAAATATCTTGTATCTAGGAACACTAATAAAGTTATAAGAGCTTCTGCTTCAAAGGAGGTCCCTGACATACCTGACTTTACTAAGTGTCAGTTTCTTTAAATGAAACAGGAAATGGCAAGAGTTCTTAACTCACAGAGCTATTGTTAGGATTGCGATTACCTACGTGTAGCCTCTAGCTCAGTGTCTGCCACGTAGCAAACCAATGAAAATGTTAGCTACTCTTACCATCATCATCATCATCATCACTATTATTACTTTTTCCACTGCCCCCTCCCTTCTCCAGTACTCCTATTCTATAGGCAGATGTTACATTGCTAAGAGGGGTCATAGGATATGCCACTGATGAAAGCACCACTCAGGGTGACTGGAGTATAGAAGGGTTCTCTTTCTGAAGGAGTTTTGTATATTTGTTTTTGTTTTTTTTTTTGAGACGGAGTCTCGCTCTGTCGCCCAGGCTGGAGTGCAGTGGCCGGATCTCAGCTCACTGCAAGCTCCGCCTCCCGGGTTTACGCCATTCTCCTGCCTCAGCCTCCCGAGTAGCTGGGACTACAGGCACCTGCCACCTCGCCCGGCTAGTTTTTTGTATTTTTCAGTAGAGACAGGGTTTCACTGTGTTAGCCAGGATGGTCTTGATCTCCTGACCTTGTGATCCGCCTGTCTCGGCCTCCCAAAGTGCTGGGATTATGGGCTTGAGCCACCACGCCCGGCCAGGATTTCTGTATATTTGTAACTAACAAAGAATAACAACCTGAACTTTTCCATAATTTCCCAAAATACTGTCATACTGTACTAGGCTCCTAAAATGGGAAACATCTAAGCACAGCAAGCAAGGGAAAGGTTTTGGACCAAGGCAGTAGTGTGAGAGAGGGAAATGCAACCTGTCCCTGGCAGAGACAGCTGCTGAAGGAGAGCACGGGATGCGAGGCATCTGCAAAGCTCACCTTACTCGTTGGTGAAGAAGATAGAGAATATTCCGAAGACTTCCCAATGTTCTGTTTTCTGGGTTTAGTCTATGACGCCCAAACTGAGGAAAGAGGGAAAAAAAAGTAAGTACTGTTGCTGGTTTTTAAAATCTTCATTACTACCTGGAGAGGATATTATGTTGGAGCAGTATCTTATAGCATACATTAATAAATTTATCCAGTTAGTACCATAGATTTCATTAAGCCTGTATTTTTCAACTGAGTGAAATATTTCAATTAAATAAGCGAAAATAAGAAAAATTTTTCTTTTCTTTTCTTTTTTTTTTTTTGAGACATCTTCTCACTCTGCCACCCAGGCTAGAGTGCAGTGGCGCAATTCTGGCTCCACCTCCCAGGTTTAAGCAATTCTCCTGCCTCAGCCTCCCGAGTAGTTGGGATTATAGACATGTACCACCACGCCTGGTTAATTTTTGTATTTTTAGTAGAGACGTGGTTTCACCATGTTAGCCAGGCTGGTCTCAAATTTCTGACCTCAAATGATTCATCAGCCTTGGCCTCCCAAAGTGCTGGGATTACAGGTGTGAGCTACCACGTCCGATCTAAGAAAAAGTTTTCAATGAAGCAAGCATAGTAATTTTCATTTTATAGAAATATATAGGAAAATTCTACCTCAAAAGAAAAAAATATGCCCAGGATGATGATTTAGATATTGATGGTAATAACTTCTACTTCTTTAGGAAATTCTGAGAAACAAATCATTTAGGACCTCTGCAGTCTAAGCTCTTCACATTATGTGTTTACATTATAAAAGTGTTAAAATACATTTACAAGGATGCTACTAAATTCCCTTATATTAAGTACCAATTTTAAAATAATACATTAGTAAAAATGCTTTTTTTTTTTTTTTTTGAGACGGAGTCTGGCTCTGTCACCCAGGCTGGAGTGCAGTGGCCGGATCTCTGCTCACCGCAAGCTCCGCCTCCCGGGTTTACGCCATTCTCCTGCCTCAGCCTCCCGAGTAGCTGGGACTACAGGCGCCGCCACCTCAACCGGCTAATTTTTTGTACTTTTTAGTAGAGACGGGGTTTCACCGTGTTAGCCAGGATGGTCTCGATCTCCTGACCTCGTGATCCGCCCGTCTCGGCCTCCCAAAGTGCTGGGATTACAGGCTTGAGCCACCGCGCCCGGCCGTAAAAATGCTTTTAACAGAAAGTACTAATTTTTCTGAACTGGAATACTCTCACTAACACCCCTATTTTAGCTAGCAATAAGCCTTTTGAAACTTTTCTCCAAAACAGATCTTGAATCTGTCCTCATCCTACCCCTCTCCTCTTTAGTGCCGCCATGGTCCAGGCCACCATCCTCTCTCGCCTGTATTACTGAAATGGTCTCCTACTAGATTGCCCCTGGCTTTCTCTCTTAGCTTTCTGACCAGTTCACCACATCATAGCCACAACAATCTTCTCCAATTGTAAATCACAGCACATATTCTCCAGCTTAAAGCCCTTCCCATCACATATTCTCAGCTTAAAGTGCTGAGGATAAAAATCCACATTCCTCACCTACAGTTTCCCTGCTACTCTTGTAATCTCACCCTGAGCCACTCTACTGCCATAGAGGCCTTCTTTCAGTCCCTAGGATGCACCAAATTCTTAGTACATTGATATGGTTTGGCTGTGTCCCCATCCAAATCTCACCTTGAATTGTAATAATCCCCACATGTCAAGGGCAGGGCCAGGTGGAGATAACTGAATTATGGGGGTGGTTTCCCCTATACTGTTCTTGTGGTAGTAAGTCTCATGAGATCTGATGGTTTTATAGGAGGAGTTCCCCCTGCACTTGTCCACGCTGCAGCCATGTGAAGAAGGACATGTTTGCTTCCCCTTCTGCCATTATTGTAAGTTTCCTGAGGCCCCCTAGCCATGCTGAAACGTGAGTCAATTAAATCTCTTTCCTTTACAAATTACCCAGTCTCAGGCAGTCCTTTAGAGCAGCATGAGAATAGACTAATACACACACCATGCTCCCCCTGCCTGGAATGCACTTTCCTCCACTGTGCCTGGCTAGGGCCTTGCCCTCCTTTGCATCTTGATTTAAACATCCCTTCTCAAAGAAGCCCACCTCCAATCATGCTAAGAAGATCCCCACCATGCCCCTTTCCAGTAAATAATTTCCTTTATAGCTCTTTTTTCAATTTGTAATTACCTATTTATTTTGCTTGTTTACCTGTTCATTCTAACTTCCACTAGCTCCATGAGGACAGGGATTATGACTTTTATTTACCACTGCATGCCCAGTTCCTCCCACAGTGTGGGTGCTTAGTAAATATTTGAACAGATAAATAACTGAATGAATTAAAAAACAGAAATTTGAGAGTGCTTCAGAAAAGCTAAATCATTCATTCCTCCTGAGTGAACTAAAGGAATCAGCCTCTGACTTTGCAAAGGATAATCCCCCCTGGGGCACCAAACCAATAAACTTGAATGAGAAGGAAGCAAAGTTATGCTTTCCTGAGGTCTTTAAAGAACTTGTCTCCGCCGGGTGCGGTGGCTCAAGCCTGTAATCCCAGCACTTTGGGAGGCCGAGATGGGTGGATCACGAGGTCAGGAGATCGAGACCATCCTGGCTAACACGGTGAAACCCCATCTCTACTAAAAATACAAAAAAATTAGCCGGGCGTGGTGGCAGGCGCCTGTAGTCCCAGCTACTCGGGAGGCTGAGGCAGGAGAATGGCGTGAACCCAGGAGGCAGAGCTTGCAGTGAGCCGAGATAGTGCCACTGCACTCCAGCCTGGGCGACAGAGCAAGACTCCGCCTCAAAAAAAAAAAAAAAAAAAAAAAAAGAACTTGTCTCCACATTTGTGTTTTGAGACATTATGTTACCTAAGAAATCACAAATGCAAACTTCATTCTAAACCAATGACAGCCAGCCTAGTTAAGCAGAATATCAAATAAAAAAATGGGGGCCAGCACAATGGTTCATGCCTATAATCCCAGCACTTTGGAAGGCCAAGGCAGGAGGATCGCTTTAGTCCAGGACTTTGAGACAAGCCTGGAAAACATGGTGAGACCCCATCTTCAGAAAAAAAAAAAAATTAATTAGCTGGACAAGGTGGTGTATGCCTGTAGTCTCAGTTACTTGGGTGGCTGAGGCAGGAGGACTGCTTGTGCCTAGGAGGTCGAGGCTATAGAGACCCATGTTGCACCACAGTACTCCAGCATGGGTGACAGAGGGAGATCCTGTCTCAAAAAAGGAAAAGAAAAGAAAAAAAAATGGATAAGGAATACTCTGGCATACCAACTAACTGCTTTATTGCTTTATTAACACTGTTTTAAATCAAGAGACCACATATATTAGAATGCTGTTTGACTAGATGTGAAGAGAACCCCAGCACTCACCCTCAGAATTGACTGTACCGTCTGCATTGGATAGGTAAGCGTGGTGGCAATCGCTTTGGCTACTGCACCAATGATGAACACATCCAAGGAAGAAAGCTGGAAAGCAAAGAAAGAATAAACCATATCAATCAAGTCAACAAGAAGGTGTCAGAATTATTTTACTGCTTTCAAAATCAGGGATTACCTTCATCTGTTTCTTTAAAAGCTGCCGTTTTAAACCTTCATAGAACATGAACTGGATGGCAGGATTGAAGACCAACAGCAATGAGGGAAATGTGCCATTCCATAAAGCCGAGATTCCTTCATCTCGAATGATCTGATGAAAAGCATCTAAACAAGAAATCAGGGACTTTTGAAAAGCATGATGACAACCCCCTAACTAGAGAAGACAACGTGAATTCCGTTCAAATGTACCCAGAACACAAACCATACTGGTTCTATAAGATTTCCTTCTGGCAGCTGGGTACAATGGCTCATGCCTGTAGTCCCAGCACTTTGGGAGGCTGAGGCGGGTAGATCACGAGGTCAGGAGTTCGAGACCAGCCTGGCCAGCATGGTGAAACCCTGTCTCTACTAAAAATACAAAAATCAGCTAGGTGTGGTGGCACGCGCCTGTAATCCCAGCTACTTGGGAGGCTGAGGCAGGAGAATTGCTTGAACCCACGAGGCAGAGGTTGCAGTGAGCCAAGATTGTACCACTGCACTCCAGCCTGGGTGACAGAGCAAGACTCCGTTTCAAAAAAAAAAAAAAAAAAAACAAAACAAGATGTATTTCTTGCAATGATAGTTTGGGGGCAAGTTTATCAGTTAATTACTTTTTGATAATCAGACACTGACAGTCACCAAGTTATTGAGAGACCAACTTCAATCACAGGCAACTGTTCCTGATGATCCGGAGTTAGAACGTCCAATTCTCCTAAGTCATTATCAGCATCACTGGGAATTCTGGATTACACAAAACTGTGAACTGAGCCCACATCTTTCACAAAAAAGTCCAGTACAAGAAAAGATAAGATCGTTTCCTGGAGTTTATTATACAGGATTTGACTTTTAAAAACCACTATTTCACTACAAAGATTGATGTATGGGAAAGGAGAACCTGGCAGTGTCATACTATTGAAAGGCAGAAGCTCAAAGATACCAGATACCAATCTGGTGTTTATCCACAGACAACACTAGAATAAAAAAGTATAGATTATTCTTCAAAAATATTCATCCCCTCCCACTGATACTCCTTGGGAGCAGCATACTTCTCTACCCCTGGTCTTGGGCTTGGCTATGTGATGTGCTTTGGCCACTGGGATGTCAGCAGACAAGGTGCCAACAGGGTTGAAAGGTGTTTATACTGTTGGGTGTGTCCTCTTGACCTTTTGCCATCGCAATGAGAAGAATATGCTCATGCTGGTCCCAGAAAGAGAGACATGTGAACTGAGACTATTAGGCTAGGCTCAGCCTAGATGAGCCAAATCCACGTCAATCCACAGACACATGTGTTAAAAAAAAATGTTATTGATGAATGCCGAGATTTGAGGTTGTCTGTTATATAGCTATTTTTTTTTTAAACTATACTTTAAGTTCCAGAGCACATGTGCACAACATGCAGGTTACATATAGATACATGTGCCATATTGGCATGCTGCACCCATTAACTCGTCATTTACATTAGGTAAAAGCAATGGAAACAAAAGCCAAAATAGACAAATGGTAAAGAGCTTCTGCACAGCAACAGAATCTACCATCAGCGGGAACAGGCAACCTACAGAATGGGAGAAAGTTTTTGCAATCTACCCATGTGACAAAGGGCTAATATCCAGAATCTACAGAGAACTTAAACAAATTTACAAGAAAAAAATCAAACAACCCCATCAAAAAGCGGGCAAAGGATAACGTTATGTAGCTTTATGTGGCAACATATTCCAGATACAAAGAAGAAAGAAAACCCTGAAATAGGAATTCCACGAAGAGATACTTACCAATGATACCTTTGTAGTTCGTTGGTACAATGTCTTCATTCCTGAATTTTGCCCCTTGTAGCTTCAGTCTGGTGTTTACCACCCAGAGTGGAGTTGTTAGCAACACGTTAACTACTCCTTTAACAAGAAAGATGGAGAGAAAAAGGGAAAGCAAAATGTCAGCTTTTAAGCTTTGCTGTTTTAAAGCTACATACTAATATTTCATTTATCTCTGTCACTGACCTCTTAGGAGACCTAAGGTAAGGTGTCTCTTTGTGCCAGGGTACAACACAAGCCACTACTGTTAGAAGCGATTTGGAAGCTTTGCTGATAGCAAAAATGACTGGCAGCAGCACCTCTCCAGACGAAGAGCAACAAGTTCCCTCATTTGTACAATAGGCAATCTATATGTCAACTTACATACCATTCAAAGTAGCAATTGCAATATAGTCATGGCTTTAAATATAATTTTAACATAACAGCTTTAGAGATGGGAGTGGCTTATAGCTAACATGCTAAGTCCATAACAATATCAGATAAAACACACAATTTACAACTCTTACTTAAGTAGCTCACATGATTTGAAGTGAGTATGGATCTGGTACAATGAGTGACAGGGGTGGGACAGGAAGTGGTGACATTTAAAAATGCCCTCACAGAGACAGCTCACTGAAGAGTTCCTCATTGCTTAGAGAATTAGGATAGGCAGGCAGCAAGCATCAGTTAAGTGTCACAAAACACCTGAAACAGCTTCACAAGCATCATGATCCTTACAAGCTTAAAGATGGGGATCTTGGCCCCCCAAGGTTGCCTCAGAGTAGAACAATACAATGAGCCAGGTGCTTCTTTTTTGAAAACACATGATCCCAATTTAACACCATCTTGAGATATTAAAATATTCCTCACCAGTCCTGAAATGATTAAAAAAAAAAATACCAGATAGAATTGTAACAACGTGCCTGACACATAGTATAGACTTTATAAATAAATAGTTGTTAAATAAATAGTGGAACAAATGAAGCAATGAACAAACTCAGTAAAAAAGTGCACATCCAGCTCTCTGGCTCTATTCAAGATCTGAAGAACCAAGAGAAAAAATACTAAGGAAGAGAGAAGTCTTCTACTAAAATTCATTTAAAGACAATTGAAGAAATAAAGTTTTGATTTAAGAATCTCAAAATATTATATATAGCAAATACAGTCTAACCAAGGATAAACTTGACAAAACAGCCAAGAGATTCAAATTCAATGCTTTCATTGGATGCATACAGTTGTTAAAGATATTTTGCTGCCTGTCTCTAAGGAGCATTATGAGAGCACGTTTCTCAAAATAAAAGACATCACCTAATAATTTTATCAGTCATATTTGTTATATTTTTATAGATTCACAGAACATTAAGAAGTCATCTTTAGTTATAACTTAAAATATTCATACATTGTCTAATACATACATAATCTAAAAAACCCTTAGTTACAGAGTCTTGCTAGTCTCATTTTTTCAAAAGCACCCATGCCCCAGAGGCCATTATAGAAGGATATTAACACATTCCTATTTGCCTAGATTTTAGAACATATTCCTATTCAATGCAATGCACACTTCACTTCACACAGAAAAACTAACAGTCAGAAAAACCAGACTAGAAAGTGCTATTGAGCAGTCTACTACATTTGTTTTAAGAGAAAAGGAGGACAGGAGAGCTCAGGAGCAGAGATCACAAGCTTCCACAGATACGGTAGAAAGGCAAAGTGCACCCACCTTTCTAAACAAGTGAAATATGCTGTCTGTTAAATAAATTCTTTAGAAATCAAAATTTTCTTCATTTAAGAGGTAGGCACATACAAAAACACTTAGGGGGCAATGCAACTAAGATAAAGATCTAACCATTCTTTAAAATTCTGCTTTCACACCCAGTGTGGTGGCTCATGCCTGTAATCTCAGCACTTTGAGAGGCCGATGTGGGAGGATCACTTGAGCCCAGGAGTTCAATAGCAGCCACAGAGGGAGACTCCATCTCTAAAAAAAATATTAAAAATTAGCCAGGCATGGTGGCACACTCCTGTGGTTCCAGCTACTCAAGAGGCTGAAGTGGGAAGATCGCCTCAGCCAGGAGGTTGAGGCTGCAGTGAGCTGTGATCGTGCCACTGCACTCCAGAGCCCGGGCAACAGAGTGAGACCTTTTCTTATTAAAAAACAACAACAACAACAAAACTGCTTTCCTATCTCCATTATTAACACAAGCAGAAAAGCTAAAAGGATTCTTCTAAAGGACAACCTCAAGTACAAAAATGAACTACATTACTTACATAACGGATTATAAAGTCCTTGTAAGAACATTTGGTATTTCAAAGCTTTTTATCTAAGAAGTTCAAGTACTTTTTTCACCCTCTAAGTCAAAATAAATGGAGGAGTACTTTTTAACCACTATAATTTTATGAGTTCTGAGAGAAGCTACTCAAAATACTTGGGAATCCAAAACTTTACTAAAACTTGCGACCTGTATCATCAAGCAAAGGTCAGCATTCCACTGAGAGAAGCATGCCACAAACCATTCGTGAGTACCAACTCCTGACAGGCCCAAAGGACAAAGAAAATTGTCTGCTTTTTTATAAGCCCATGTAACTCTTCTGCCAGTTCCGGCCAGGTGCAGCGGCTCCCGCCTGGAATCCCAGCACTTTGGGAAGCCGAGGTGGGTGGATCACTTGAGGTTAGGAGTTCAAGACCAGCCTGGCCAACATGGTGAAACCCCTTCTCTACTAAAAATACAAAAATTAGCAGGGCATGGTGGCGGGTGCCTGTAATCTCGGCTACTCGGGAGGCTGAGGCAGGAGAATCGTTTGAACCCGGGTGGCGGAGGTTGCAGTGAGCCGAGATTGCGCCACTGCACTCCAGCCTGGGTGACAGTGTGAGACTCCATCTCAAAAACAAACAAACAAACAAACAAAAAAGAAAAATCTTCCGCCAGTTCCAAGCTGTGGGTGCTACTTCAGTCTAAAGTGGGCATACAAATTAATACTTTACCTACCAAAGGGCAGAAGACTGTTTTTTTTCCTAATTCTAATGTCTATAATTCTATTTTCTTTCTTTCTTTTATGTAACAAATCATTTACAAGAAAGAATAAACCAAAATTAAGAGATGAAGAACAGTAATTGTTCTTACTGTTCTTCAAGGAACAGTAGAACCTAATCAAGGAACAATTAGAACAGTAGAACAGTAGAATCTAATCAAGGAACAATTAGAACACAGCTATTTACTCCTGAAATCTTGATAGTTTTATCAGCAGTGAGTCTCCTTTGTTATGGAGAGAAAACACAAGTGAAGTATGCTAATTGGGTATGCACTCCCGGGAAATACTGCAACGACCATGGATATAAGAAAATGGCAAAACAAAGGCACAAATCTAACAAATCTCACTTGACTCCGTAGGAAGGAATGAAGCTTTACACACAACAGGAACAAACCTGTCTTGCCAGATTTAAGGCCAGAGGGCAAGAAATGCATTTTTAACTATCACAACAATAATACTTTTGGCATTCAGTAAGAGTTTATTGGTAAAAATTCCAATTTCATAAAAATGCGTGTCTCTTCACTTATCTGTTAAGGTTCTGTTCCCAAATTATTCCCCAGGATATTAAGCTTTATAGGCTGGTTTTTCTGGGAAAATACAACAAATAATAAATTTCTAAGTTTCAAGAAGAATTTGAAGAACAACAATGCTGTTCCTAGTTCTCCTTAGAGATGATACAACTCATTTCTGCAGTGATTATAATACAGCAGGAAGAGAGAAAGCTGTTATAATTATTATAAAAATATGTACATATTAAGACATAAAAACTTGTTATGAAGAGAAGTTTAAAACTCACAAAAGTAATTTTCAAGGAACTCCCAACCTTCAGAAAAAGAGAAGACCTACAATCAGAGAATCTCACAATTACAAAGGATTGTAAAATTCTTTAACCCAGAGTCTCCCAACTGTGACACTACCGATATTTTGAGGTGGAAAATTATGTGTTGTGTGTGTATGTGGGCTCTTGTGTAAGACGTTTAGCAGTCTCCCTGGCCTCTACCCACTAAATGCCACATTTGACCCTGTGGGTCAAAATCAGCCTCAATTTTGCTCATTGAGGCTAATCAGCAAAACCACTAATCTAATACAATCACCAAGTGATTATTCAGTTTATTCTTTACAACTTCAAAACACAGGAATTCACTTTCACACCTGTTGTATTCTATTAGCTCTTACAATTATTTATTTTATTTTGTTTTGTTTTTTTGAGACATGGTCTTGTTGCAGTGTCTCCTACTCCTGGGCTCAAGCGATCCTCCCTCCTTAGCCTCCCAAGTGGCTGGGACTACAGGCACACGTCAGCTAATTTATTTTTAACCTTTTTACCACTCCCAGCACTGAAGTTAAAATATGTAGATACAGCTTTAACTTAACACCACACTATCTAAAATGGTACCTCTTTTTTTTTTTTTTTTTGAGGCGGAGTCTTGCTCTGTCGCCCAGGCTGGAGTGCAGTGGCACTATCTCGGCTCACTGCAAGCTCCGCCTCCTGGGTTCACACCATTCTCCTGCCTCAGCCTCCCGAGTAGCTGGGACTACAGGCGCCTGCCACCACGCCCGGCTAATTTTTTTATATTTTTAGTAGAGATGGGGTTTCACCGTGTTAGCCAGGATGGTCTTGATCTCCTGACCTCGTGATCCACCCATCTCGGCCTCCCAAAGTGCTGGGATTACAGGCTTGAGCCACCGCGCCCGGCCCTCTTTTTTTCTTTCTTTCTTTTTTTTTTTTTTTTTTGGAGATGGAGTCTCGCTCCATCTCCCAGGCTGAAGTGCAGTGGCGCGATCTCTGCTCACTGCAACCTCTGCCTCCTGGGTTCAAGTGATTCTCCTACCTCAGCCTCCCAAGTAGCTGGGATTACAGGTGCGTGCTGCCATTCCCAACTAATTTTTATATTTTTGGTAGAGAGGGGGTTTTGTCATGTTGGCCCGGCTGGTCTGAAACTCCTGACCTCAGGTAATCCACCTGCCTCGGCCTCCCAAAGTGTTGGGATTACAGGTACGAGCCATCGCGCCCGGCCAGTGGTACCTCTTTCTAACCCTCAGTACTCTACCCCCTCTTTGCTTAAATTTTG